AGACTCTGTCTCAAAAAAAAAAAAAATTAATCCCTGGATCTTTGTTTTCAAGTTGACTACAAATGAACAGATGAAAACAATTATAAAACATCAAAACACCACTCTATAATGTTTAATGTAAAAATACAAAACTTCAAAACACCCTCTAAAAAGTAAACTATAATGTCCAATTTTTAAAACATTTTGGCTAATGACCCTTGTTGAGGATACTTTTCCTTGAAAAGAATGTCACTTTTATTTTACAATATATTAGTATTACAATGCAGTATAGAAACAAGCATTTTGACTTTAACAAAAAATAAGTAATCTTTTGAATGTAACTTTATTAATCTTATGCTCATTTAGAACTAAATATATGAACCACTCAACTAGGACCAAAGATCAGAGGGACGTAAAATTTAGAAGTATTAGGTCATTAAATATGAAATGTCGGATTTCAAATCAAAAACGTCGTTTATTATATCTCAAACAAGAAGCAGTACAATTAATCAAAGTATGTGCCTAAACTATCCACACAGTTTTGCCACCTTAACGGTAGCTTGTTTATGCCAGCAGCAAAGAAGCCTACAGAGTGAGTGGCAATGAAATACATGAAAGGAGTTTTCCACAGCTTGTTGAGAATTAAATATTTTGCCTTGCAAGAAGTGGTCCAAAGCTTGGAAGAAGTGGTTGTCAGTTGGTGCCAAGGTGTGGTGAATACAGTGGATGACAGAGAGTTTCCAAGTCCAACTGCTGTAGTTTGAGCAGTGTTGTTTGTGTGACATGTGGTCAAGCACTGTCTTGTGAAAGGATTGGCCTGTCTCTATTGATCAGCCTTAGCTGCTTAATCACAAGCATCCTCATCATTTCATCCAACTGGTTGCAGTAGACATCCTCTGTAATCGACTGACCAGGTTCATGAAGCTGCAGTGGATGATACCAGCGCTGGACCACCAAACAGACGCCATTAGATTTTTTTGATGAATATTCAGTTTTGGACTGTGTTTTGGCATATCTTTATCCAACCATTGTGCCAAACACTTGCTATTATCAAAAAGAATCCATTTTTCATCACACATAACAACATGGTGTAGAAATCGTTCGTGTTTATATTGTGACAGCAAAGAAAGGCGAGCTTCGACATGATTTCTCTTCTGACGCTTGTTTAATTTATGTGGAATCCAACTATCCAGCATCTTTACCTTGCCCATTTGTTTCAAATGGTCCAATCTTGTTGGAATAGGAATGTCAAACCTTGCTGCTAATTCATGAGTAGGCTGAGATGGATTTGCTTCCACTACAGCTTTCAGCTCATCGTTACCCACCTTGGTCTCAGGTCACCCCCATGGCTTATTTTCAGGATTAAAATCACCAGAATGGAACTTCTCAAACCATCGATGTACTGTGCATTCATTAGCCACATCCTTCCCGAACACTTTGTTGATATTTTGAGCTATCTGCACTGCATTTGTTCCATAATGGAACTCATACTCAAAAATAACACAAATTTTGACTTATTCATGATTTCATAAAAATTGCTCTAAGAAAAAGTAAATCACAAGACAACATGTACATTTGAAAGACTGAGGAAGTACCTTCACAATAAATATAAAACAGGAATTGTCAAAATGAAATGTCAGGCTGGGCGCGGTGGCTCATGCCTGTAATCCTAGCTCTCTGGGAGGCCGAGGCGGGCAGATTGTTTGAGCTCAGGAGTTCGAAACCATCCTGAGCAAGAGCGAGACCCTGTCTCTACCAAAAATAGAAAGAAATTAATTGGACAACTAAAAATATATAGAAAAAATTAGCCGGGCATGGTGGCGCATGCCTGTAGTCCCAGCTACTCGGGAGGCTGA